GGAGCAACAACAATGGGCTTATAAAATGATTCATCAAGAATATCACATGTTAGTTTCACATCACATGACACAATCACTTGCTCCTTCTTGGCTTCCTCCTTCTTGACTTGCTCAAGGAGAGAGGAGTGAGCCTTTTCAAGCTTAGAGTGGGCTTCCATTAGCCTCTCATGAGTGGCATTGAGCTCATCAAAGGATTGCTCAAGAGATTTGACCTTCTTGCGTAATTCTTTGCACTCCTTTCTCTTCATCTCAAAGTAATTGTGTACTTGCTCACACATGTCCAAGAGCTCTTTCTTTGTGTACTCATCATCATCATCATCATCACAACCATCACTTTCACAATCATCATCACTCACATCATATTTTACCTTGGTAGGCTTTGCCATGAGGCAAGTCGATGGAGTGTCGAAGATGGAAGGCTTGTTGTTGATGGCGATGCTTACTAGTGCCTTCTTAATGGATTTCTTGTTATCATCACTAAAGCCATCATCATCATTAGAGGTGCCATCACTATCCCAAATGACTACATAGCCACTTCCCTTCTTCTTTATGAAAATCATTTTCTTCTTCTTTTCCTTCTTCTTCTTTTTATGCTTCTTCTCATCCTTATCATTGTCACTATTATAGGGACAATCTGCTACAATATGATCGGGGCTCTTGCACTTGTAGCATCTCCTCACATACTCCTTATTGTGGTCTCTTCTCTTTCTTGCACCGTAGCCCTTCTTCTTCATGAATTTGCCCATCTTGCGCACAAGGAGAGCCATAGCTTCATCATCAATGCCACTAGCATCTTCATCATCACTTGATTCTTTCTTGGACTTGCCCTTGTTCTTGGATGATGAGCGAATGCTACACTCTTCTTCTTCTTGTCTTCATCTTTCTTCTTCTCATCCTTGTTAACCCCCTCTCTTTTCACACGGTATGTCTCTTGTGTCATGACATCACCTAGTACTTGGTTAGGGATAAGCTCCTTCAATCCTCCTCTTATGATGAGCAATCTCAACATCTCAAATCTTGGAGGTAAGCACATTAAGAACTGATGAGAGACATCATCATCATTGATCTTCTGACCTAATGCCTTCAAATCATTGACAATCACTTGCAATCGATGGAACATCTCCGGAATGCTCTCATCATTCTTCATCTTGAAGCTTGTTAACTTGTCCTTGAGGATGTACAACTTGGCACTCTTCACCATCGGTGTGCCCTCATATGTTTTCTCCAATCTCTTCCACACCTCATTAGCTCTCTCACAATCCTTGATTTGCTCAAACACCTTAAAATCAATGGCATTGTAGATGGTGTTGAGAGCCATTGTATTGCATTGCTTGTTGGCCTTGTCATGGTTGGTGAGATTGGTGGGATCAATAATCACATAGTCACTCTTGGTCACATCCCACACTTGATCATTGATTGAACCAAGATACATCTTAATCTTTCTCTTCCAATAATCATAGCATGTGCCATCAAAGAACTTGAGCCATCTTTTGACACCGAGGTTGTTAAGCCTTCAATCAAACGGTGACCACAGCTCTGATACTACTTGAAAGGTCCTAATATGGCTAGAGGGAGGGGGTGAATAGCCTATTTAAAACTCTACAAATCCACTAGAGCAATTTGTTAGTAAACTAAATGGCGAAATACAAACCTGCTCTAGCTCTACAAGGGTTGCAAGCCACCTACCCAACAATTTTAGTTGCTATAATCTCTAGTCACACAATAGGCAAAGTCACTACTCACTAAGAGCTCTCAACAAGGCTACACTAAAGAGCTCCACTAGATAAAACTAAGCTACAAAGCAAGCTCTCAAAACTAGCTACGCTAAAGAGCTTGCTACAACTAGTTTGCAAGAAAGTAATGGACTGAGTAGGGTGATTATATAGCCGTGTCGAGGAATGAACCAATCACAATACGATGACAACCAATCACCGGGAGAAATCCAATCACACAAGAGACACAAGATTTTTCTCTAGAGGTTCACGTGCTTGCCGGCACGCTAGTCCCCATTGTGTCGACCAACACTTGGTAGTTCAACGGCTAAGAGGTGTTTCACGAACCTCATCCAACAAATGGACACTGCAAGAACCTACCCACAAGTGAGGTAGCTCAATGACACGCGCAATCCAATAGAGTACCTTTTGGCTCTTCGCCGGGAGAAGATCAAGAACCCGCACAAGTAACCGATCGAGGCCGGAGACAATCACCAACTCCGCTGAATGATCATCCAATCACTGAGCCATCTAGGTGTCGGCAAACACCATGAGTAACAAGCTCACAACCAGCCCAAAGCTTCCACCTAATGCCACAAGATGATGCAACTCAATGCAATGCACTAGAGGCTCTCCAATCTCACTCAAGATGATGAAATCAAGTGAACAAGTGAGTGGAGTGTGTTGCTCAGCTTCCAAAGGGTGTGCACAAGTGTAAGAGGTGCCAAGAGAGTGACCAAGGCCGGTCACACCCTCTATTTATAGCCACATAAGCAAATAGAGCCGTTACCCCTTGGAGCCGGTTTCTGCGAGGGCACCGGACAGGGTTGCAGTGCCTGGAATTAGACAGGGTTGCGGTGCCCTCCAACGGTCGAATTCCAACGATTACAAACTAGCCATTGGGACACCGGATAGGGTGGCGGTGGCACGGCCATGGGGGTGGCGATGACCACCCAGCCGAGCCCCTAGAAACGCAGTCTTTAGAAAAATAGGGCTGTGCACCGCCGTCACCATGGCGGTGACCATGGCAGTGACCAGCCCAGTTTGCGCCCATCTCTGGAGAAAAACGGCGGTGTACATTGGCATGTCTGGTGACCATCCTGAACCTGCTGCTCTTGGCCATGTCCTGGTGGGCACTGCCCTAGGGGTGGCAGTGCACCGGACAGGGGGTGGGCATGCCACCCAGGTGCCACCACTAGCTCGCCAAGTTGCAAACTTTTTTGCGATTCGATCCACAGCAACCTGAGCTACTCCCCGCAAGCGATGCTAACTCTCAAAGTGTTTTATCAAAACATGTTAGAGCCAAGTTAGCATTTCTCAAAACATTTTTGATAAATATTTTTGCTTGCTCTCGAATGTGCACTAGGCCTAAATGCAATGCATGAAGTCCAACACCTAGTGGCACTAGATGACCGAATTGTCTAGTAGAGAACTCATCTTAATAGTATAGCCATCTACCCTAAATGTGATCACACTATCTATAGTGTCTTGATCACTAGAACAAAATCACTATTTATACCTTTGCCTTGATCTCTATAGGGTTTTGTTTTTCTCTTTCTTCTTTTCCAAGTTGAGCACTTCATCATCATCACATGTGGCCATCTCATCATTTCATGTGATCAACACCATCTCTTGAGTGCCACCATGCTTCACACTTGGATTACACCAACCTAGCTCATATCACTACTCATGATAAAGGTTAGTGCATATATTTCATCAATTATCCAAAACTAAATTAGGGCTTTTAACCTCCTCCTCCCTCAGTTTGCACAATGCCTCCCCGACCTCTTCCCTAATCCATCGCCGCTAGGATGCCTCACCGTCGCTGTCCTACCGATGGCCGCTGGGTACACGTGTCGTGCCGCCTCAGGTCGTCCCCAATCGAGCCAAGGGCACCCACGAGCACGGCCAGTGCTAGTGGTACTCACGTGTCGCCGCTCGCCGCTGGCTCCCATCTCGATGCACGGAATTGACCGGCCCCAAGCTCCCCTCCGTCGGGGATGTCATGTTTCAAGTGTTTTAGACGTATGTTTTCAAGTGTTTCATCTGAATGTTGTGTGTATTGCAATGGCTATATACGTTGTTGCAAGCGTACGTTTCATGTTGCAAGCATATGTTTCTAGTGTTTTAGGTGTTTTAGACATATGTTTCAAGTGTTTCATCTGGATATTGCATAGCATGCATGTTGCAGGCGTACGTTTCAGGTGTTTCATACGTATGTTGCAAGTGTTTTATCTAGATGTTGCCAAAGTAGATCTGGATGTTGCATATGTTTGCAATGACTTTCAAGTGTTTTCAGGTGTTTTGCAAGTGTTTCAGCTATTTTTGGATATATGTTGCAAGTGTTTTATCTGGATGTTACAAAATTAGATCTGGTATAGCACATGTTGCAATGGGACCCCTGCTGCAATTGTTGAGGCACCACCACGCGCGTGGGAAGTGGAGAGGGTGCAGGCGGTCTTTGCGTGCGATCGGGCGGTGCAAGCAGGGTGAATCATCTGGGCGGCACAACCCCAACGTGGGGGCGTGAAACGGAGCAGGCATGGGAATCGAGGTGCAGGCGCAAGCATCCGTCTGGACGTATCCTTAAAAAGAAAAGTCAAGCCCAACTATCATTTGGTGAAACTGCTTGACTAAATTGTGCCTTTGCCATTTTAACACCATGTATAATTGACCATTTATTCTGTTTAAGTGGCATCTAGTTCGTTTAGCCCAAATAACTATTAACGGGTAGGTGATCACTGTTTATTGTTTAGCTTTAGAGAAAAAAATGTTGCGGGTGAACTTTTTTTCATTCAGGTCTATGTTTCGCTAGGGGCCTGTTTAGATGGCGAAAATTTTTGCAAAATGCACTGTAGCACTTTTTCGTTGTTATTTGACAATTAGTGTCCAATCATAGTCTAATTAGGCTTAAAAGATTCGTCTCGTGAATTTCGTCTAAACTGTATAATTAGTTTTATTTTTTATTTATATTTAATGCTTTATGCATGCGTCCAAAGATTCGATGTGATGGAGAATTAAAAATTTGACAAAATTTTTAGGAACTAAACTGGACCTAGGTAGATTCCATGTCGCCATCGCTCGTGGGCCCTCTTAGGTTAGCCCAATGTCAGCCAATGGCTGCCGTTGGCGACCGGGCCCATCCACTACACTGGCAGAAGCCAGAAGCAGCAGCAGTGCAGCAGGTACACCAATCGTTTCGTCCCCGCGTCTGGCCCAGCCGCGTAGGCGCCACAGAAACTCCCACGCCGTACGGCCCGGGGTCGCCGTCGCCGTCGAGTCCAATCCATGGCTCCGCCCGCCGCCCCGACCGCGCTGCACCACCGGACGCCCCTCCTCCTCCCCCTCCGCGCCGCCGCCCCGGGTGCCACCGCCACCGTGCGCGCCGCCAGGGCCGCCTCTCTCGCCGTCGTCAGGGCCCAGCCGGACACCACCTCGGCCGCCTCCGCCTCCACCTCCGCCCCCGAGCCGCCGATGCCGGAGTTCAAGCCGCCGCAGGGGTTCAAGGTGCCCGAGCCCAAGAGGTTCGAGGTCAAGCCCGGCCAGCAGAACAGCGTCCTCGGCGCCTCGCTCGCCATCCCGCTCCGCCTCGGCACCGGCGTCTTCGTCCTCGGGTACGCACCGCACCTTCTCTCACCATCCGCGCGTCTACCTCGCCTACGGGCTACATCCTACGCCTGCTGACCTGCACGTGTCACTTCATTGTGCAGGTACTCGCCATCACTTGTTTCTCCATCAGAGATACCATCAGACCAATATGCACTGGAATTCGGAGGTGAATCTATTCACATTTCTTTCATTTTTTTTAGCTATAACCATATCATGGAAATCACACGGAGTCGCACGATAAGTTGCAGTTTGTGAAAATCAGAGTCCCACTCATTAAGTAGTTATTATAATAGTACGCAACTGCAAACCTATGTTTCTTGTTGTAGCTTGGAAGGTGAAGGAGGAATCAAAAATAGGACAGTGCAAACGACCAGAAAAGCCTATCGAAATATATGAATTTGAAGGGTACAGCCTTCTGCCTCCTGTAGTCCTGTTTATCTCTAATTGTACCTACTTTTGACTCTTCAAAAAAAAAATGTACCTACTTTTGTTGTACCAACCCCTATTATTTTTGCCCAATGATCATGCTGACTTATTCCTTTTCTTCATTGTTGGTGTATTCTTCCGAATCTTCAGATGTCCATTTTGTCGAAAGGTGAATATTCCCAATCTCCTGCAACTGCATTTTGCAGCTATCATTCTTCATGCACATTAACAATTTTGGTATTTGTATTTGCCATGAAAACATTACAGGTCAGAGAGATGGTATCAGTCTTGGACCTAGATGTATTATTTTACCCCTGTCCTCAAAAAGGCCCGACATTCCGACGTAAAGTCCTCAAAATGGGTGGAAAGAAACAATTTCCTTACATGGTATGCAGCTATCCTACATAAGTTCTGATATTCTGTTGTGTGTCAGCACTTCAGATTGTATTTGATTGCTAGTGTGCCCACATCCACATCTGTGAAGTATGGAAATGTGTAGTACGAATTATATTCAATAAACAAACTTGTGATCACCATTGAGTATAGACTTGTGACTCCCTGGCAAGATGGATTTTTATCGAATTGATGTAATGTGCTACTTTTCATCGAGCAACGCCTGCGAGGAACGACGTAGAAATCAACAAACCAATTTGGTTTCATGCACGGAAGGTCAACCACAGAAGCAATCTTCTTAATAAGACAGGTTATGGAACGGTTTAGAGAGCAGAAGAAGGACATTCACTTGGTTTTCATTGACTTGGAGAAGGCTTATGACAAGATACCAAGAAATGTTATGTGGTGGTCTTTGGACAAACATAAAGTCCCATCAAAGTACGTGACCCTCATCAAGGACATGTACAACAATGTTGTGACTAATGTTCGAACAAACGATGGTAACACAGATTACTTCCCGATTAAAATTGGACTTCATCAAAGGTCAGGCTTAAGTCCATATCTCTTTGTCTTGGTAATGGATGAGGTTACCAGGAATATACAAGGGGATATCTCTTGGTGTATGTTGTTCGCTGATAATGTAGTGTTAATGGACGAAAGCCAGGCGGGGGTAAATATGAAACTAGTGTTATGGCGGCAGACCCTTGAGTCTAAAGGTTTTAGATTGAGCAGAACTAAAACCGAATACATGAGATGCGACTTTGGCAGAGTTGTACAGGAGGAGGGAGATGTGAGTTTGGAAGGTCAAGTAGTGCCTAAGAAGGATACCTTTCGGTATCTGGGATCGATGCTACAAAGGGATGGAAATATTGATGCGGACGTTAGCCATAGAATCAAAACAGGGTGGATCAAGTGGCGACAAGCTTCTGGCATTCTCTGTGACAAGAGGGTACCACAAAAGCTAAAAGGCAAGTTCTATAGAACGACGATTAGACCGGCTATGTTGTATGGAGCAGTTGTTGGCCTACAAAGATTAGACATATTCAACAACTGAGTGTTGTAGAAATGCGTATGTTGCGATGGATTTGCGGTCACACAAGAATGGACCGAATTCGGAACGATGATATACGTGATCGCCTAGAGGTAGCACCAATTGAAGAAAAACTTGTCCAACATTGATTGAGGTGGTTTGACCATGTCCAAAGGAGACCTCCAGAGGCACCAGTGCATTGTGGAGTCCTAAGCCAAGCTAATAATATGAAGAGAGATAGAGGAAGACCGAAATTGACATGGGGGAGGCAATAAAAAGAGATTTGAAAGTTTGGGATATACCTAGAGATCTATGTTTGAATATGAGTACTTGGAAAGCAGTTATTGAAGTGCCTGAATCGTGACTTAGGGCTTTTGGTGGGTTTTAACTCTAGCCTACCCCAACTTGCTTGGGACTGAAAGGTTATGTCGTTGTTGTTGTTGTTGTTGATGATAATGTAATGTGCTACTTTGATGTGTTTCCTAATTTTTGATTGGGGAAAATAAGGGTGTCCATCTGATAATTCTGAAGGAATAAGTTATACCGTGATACACGTCTATTGCAGGTGGATCCAAACACAGGGGTCGCCATGTATGAATCAGATGACATCATAAAATACCTAGCTGACACATACGGTGTGTATTCAACATATCTTCCCTTTACCTTTGCCCTTCAGGGTTGTTCCTATTAGTGGCCTCCTTCACTTGTGCTTGTTTTTTCAGGCGATGGAACTGTTCCAATTATGCTATCACTTGGTCTGTTAACAGTAAGTAACTAAGTACCAGTAATCGAAAAGTATATGATACGTACTAAGTACCCCAACTATCCAAGAACAAATGGCATGGTTTAATTTAGTACCCAATTATCTAGGAATATGTGATATGTTTACACTGAGGTTTCTATATGCTTCAGTTTTTGCCTATCCTATGAGTATAATGGTTTATTTTCTGCCAAGGATCAATTTGCAGTTTCGATAACTTTCACTCTTTGTTTTGTAGACAATCACAGCAGGGCTTGCTACTCTTGGTCGTTTTGGAAAGGTACAATGTGAAAAAACAATATAACCAAGTTCATTGCATGTTATCCTCTGAATGTTTGCTCAGAATCATGGGCATTGTGTCATTGTTTACAGGGAAATTCCTATACTGCTTCAAAAGTTCCACAGCAGCCAATAGAGATATGGGCATATGAGGTCTGAATCCTTAACACATGAGCTCTCTTCTTAGCGTACAGGCCATGGTTGTGATTTATTGCAGCATAGTGTCAGTTCTGGAGTCTGAATGGCTGATGATCTATTTTCTCAGGGATCTCCCTTCTGTAGATTAGTACGAGAGACGCTTGTTGAGTTGGAATTGCCACATCTGCTACACAGGTATCCAAAATACTTTAAAACCACAAGTCAATGAATGGCATCATAAGTCATAACAGCCTGGAAGCTGTTGCTAAGCTTCACATTAGTAGAATTACACATTAGGTCTTGTTTGGATGCGCATGTATTCATCTCAATCCACATGTGTTGAAGTAGATTAGAATATAATTAAACTAAGTTCCATTCCATTCCACTCCAACACATGTGGATTGAAGGGAATACACATGAATCCAAACAAGGCCTTAATTCAATTCTTCTGGACTGAGATATGTGCTCAGCAAGAGTGTTAGTAACTAGAAATTATTCCTGCAGCTGCGCACGTGGCAGCCCCAAACGACAAGAATTTTTGAAGAAAAAGGGTGTTTTCCAGGTATGAGGCCTTGCTATTGATGCCATTGACGCTGAACATTCTTGATTTGCCTGCCTAGTTGTATGTGATATCATATATGTGTGTATTACTGTGTTGGCAGGCTCCTTACATCGAAGATCCTAACACGGGAGTCCAGATGTTCGAAAGCGCTGAAATCATAGACTACCTGAAGGGAACATATGCCCTGTACCCAAGCTCATAGTGACGTACGGAGTATATCTCAAATTCTCATTTGTAATGTTGTGTAGACCATTTTTTTTAAAGAAACGTGTATATTCAATTCTTTCCAGTAAAGGAAAAGAAATAGTGAACCACAAATTCTGTACGATGCACAGCGATTTTGTCTATGCAGGTCTGAACTTTGAAGTTACTGCAAATTCCGCTCTTCTGGTTAATCTAGTGAATGAGTGATTGAGTTCCCTTGTGCAGTGCTGGAGTAGTTTGGATCTTGGAAAAGTGGTGTACTGTTGTTGATTGAAGACGCGATTGGACTGATCCCTTGTAATTCGGATCTTGAAAAAACCGTCAGTGATTGGCCATCTCTTCGAAGTTGGACTCGAAGAGAGGCAAATCGAACTGTTGGTTCACGAATCAACGTCAAGTGTCGTGTGGATCAGGTCGTCGTCACCAAAGCCTTCGCCCACACAGACAACAGAACAAGCCCTCCTCCAGGCTTCCCAACAAGGGCCACCGGCCACCTCACGCGCGTCTTACGCCATGGGCAGCGCGTCGTCCCCGTCCCCGCCGTCGCGCCGGCGGTGGAGCTGGGGCTCAGCGCTCGCCGGCGCGGCGACGACGGCCGCCGCCACAGCGCTGGTGCTGTGCCGTCCCCGGGACCCTCGATTCGAGCTCATCTCCATCAGCCTGTCCGCCTTTCACTTCCGCGCGCCGGCGGCGCTGGACATCGGCCTCACCCTCACCGTGCACGCCACCAACCCCAACGTCGTGCCCGTGCGCTACGGGCCCTCCACCGTCTCCATCCTCTACGGCGGCGCGCACCTCGGCACCGCCCACCTCGACGCCGGCGAGCAGCCCGCCACCTCCTGCCGCCTGCTCCACCTCCCGGCGCGCCTCGACGGCGTCGAGCTCGCGCACCGCGCCCGCGCCATCCTCTCCGACGTTGCGAGCCGCCACATGGAGCTGGACGCTGCCGTCGAGATCACCGGCGAGGCCGCGGTGCTGCTCTGGTCACGCCCCTTCTCCGTCCGCATCGACAGCCACATCACCGTCGACCCCGTCTTCCTGGAGGTGGTCGAGCAGGAGAACCACTCGGAGATGCAGCTCTACCTCGCCTGAATCTTCACCAACTAGTCTTGTCAAAAACCCTATCGCTTATTTTGTGCAATGCTCAAAAGTCAAAACCTTCATTTGTTTGCACAATGCAATGCAACATTCAGATTCCAATGCAATGCCTCATTCAATTCAAGCTAACTTTCACAAATTTCTGATGCTCTACAATATCAGTATCGCACAACACAATGTTACAAATGATTGATTGGGAACAAAAGGGAAATGCACTGGGGGAGAGCCAAGGCAGCTCACCCGCCACAGTTAACCTAGCACAAGTGCACAACAAGGACACCAAAGCCGGCAAATTGATGCCCTACTAATAAATTACACTGCGCACGGGGATTTGAATGTCTCAGTTGATTGTCGCGAGCGGCAAGCGAGGTATCTGAGATAACTTGGACTCTTTGCTCGATTCGGATTCATACGGATGGTTCTCACGGAACTCATTCATCAAGGTCTCCATGGGCATCGCTCGCAGCGACTCAATCGAGCCTTTGCTTGGCACGTGCAGCTCAAACCTCACCGGAGTTTCACCAGTCGGTTCGTAGTCCTGCAAGAATAGCATTTGCAGAGTTAGGGGATTAGAGTAAGCAAGGTGTTAATTGCTCAATGTATTGGTAGTAACTTAGGAAAGCACTTTAGTTTCAGGCTTTCAGCAGATTTTGTCTCACTCTCACCTTGTAGCTGTTTTGGAAAGTCTTGTCGGCGTGCATATTGATACCGGCAGCCTGGCTGGAGTGGCTCTCTTGCAGCTTCTGTAGCTCTGCGAAGTGAGCCTCCACCGTTGAGACCACTCTTGAACTCGAATTGCGTGCCTCTTCCAACAGATCTGAAGCAAAGTGATGTATCAAGACGCCCAGATCAGATAGAGAACTATGAGTGCTGATGACTAAGACGAACAAATCAAGTGCCAAGAAAGTACTTTCAATGCCCTGGGCTATGTCCTTGCCGCTATTGGAGGCGTCTTCTTCAGCCACATCTCGAGAAGATGCAACCTCCACTTCATGTTGCTCATTGTTCTCAATTGCAGTCCTGAAAAATACAACCAAGCTACATTAGCGGCCAATACATAGTTTTGGAAACAAAAGTGCTGGCTCGAATGCTCAGGCACTGCGACTGCCCCTTGGCTGCTTATCTGCTGTCACTCAAATTATAAGAAGTTTGTTCTTATGCACTAAAATTATGCATGGGCATGCAAATTGTAACCTAAGTAGCCACTCTAAGAGAGTGCCAAATGAATTTATTGAGATGCAGTAGAACTAATCAACTTGCCTGACGAGTGCTTCAACTTCAGCAACTTGCTTTCTGCTGAGATCGTTAACAGCAACATGTGACTTCTTCCATTGCTGAACAGCGGAGTCAACAGTGCATGCGCTGGATAAGTCAAGCACAAATGATTACTCATGATCCAAGTTCAACGGATAAGTGGACGAACAAAAATAATCCCATGCAACCGTTCAGACATACCACTCCTGCAGCATGGTTTCCATGCGGCAATGCTTAGCTGCAGAGAAGCTGGAGCCAGCTTTGCAGTCATTCTCAGCCTGCTCTGCAAATGTTTCCCACTTCCTCTTAGCATCTTTTGTGACAAACTCCATGGCCGATGTGTGTTCATCCAAAAATGCCTTGTTTCCACGGGCAGAATCACCCAGAGAACTCAATCTAACACCGACCTGAAAGAAAATGCATGTCAGGATCGTGTACTTGTGGCCCTATATGGTAGGCGCCAAGCTTTTGCCACAGACATGAAATAAACGGATGCAAGAATAATATCATGGGCATACACGCACCAACTCTCTTTGTCGAGTAATATGTTTAGACACTAAACTGTTTATGTCCGCTAGAAGCTTATGCTCCTCTGATTTTGATTGCTCCTGCACAAGAAGATGGTATTAGATACACACCTACCAAACTTTGCAGCAAACGAAAAGAGGGCTAAATGGCTCACCTCATAAGCCATCTGAAAATCTTCAATGCTTTTCATTTGTGCTTCATGAGTATTATTTGAGTGGCTCTGTAACTTGGATGTTTCCTCAACGTACTTGTCAAATAGCCCAATAATATAAGTGGACATTCCTTTTGTCCTGTCCAAGCTTATTCGGAAACTCTACAAGACCATGAACTCCAATTAAGAGATGGCATGTTAAAAATCTAGAGGAAGAAAGAAATCATCAGAGATTGTGACTGACCTCCCTTAATTCTTGAGTGAAGTGTGTCATTTCACTTCGGTGGGTGGTTAACAATTTATGGATGTCATTAAATATATTCTGTGCCTCTCCCTCAACGCAAGCTAGTAGCTGTGAGAAAAGGTATTTCCATGAACATAAATAGAACAACAGTTAGGATCAAGAACTTGACAGAAGTAGATTTTTTTTAAGCTACACAAGCATCCAAGTTACTTACCTGGTCAAGACTACAGCAGCTTGCAGCAGATAGTGATGATATATCTTCCAGTGTGGCATTTGCACTTGCTTTATGTAGGAGGACAACATTTTGGAAAGCTTCCATATGCAACATGTATAATGATTTTGAAGCCAAAATCTTCTTTTTCAGCTCATCAGTAGCCTTCAAATGTTCAAACAAAAATAGTGAGCATACAATATGAAGTCAATGAGTGAGGTAATTCAGTCCAGAATTAGGTATGCTAATTAATGGTTCAGTAATAGTTACCTTGTCATGGGACTCAACACAAGATTGGCATAAATCCTCCACGGACTTTAGGTGCATATTTTGTTGATCTACGGATGCATTGAGTGTATTGGAAAGAATATCCAACTTCGAAGCAAGGTCAATTTGGAATGTATTCACTACTGATCTATTTGTTGCACTTAGCTTGTCTCCCCTAGCTATTTCATCATGGTCAACAACATGTTAGCACAAATGACAATCGTAATAAAGACAGTAACAAAAATACTCCAAGACACTTACCAATTTTTGAATACAGTGTAGTATTATCACGAGTATATTTTTCCAGATCTGATCTCAGCGCACAAGCTTGGTGTGTTAAAGCATTTTCTGTAATAAGAATTAGTTAAATCACCGTTAAAAATAAAAATAAATGGTTTCGTGGAATGGACAATGTGATAAAATGGTACCTGCTTTTTTCTGTTCTGAAATTATATAATCTTTCTCCTTTAGATCATACTGTGCCTGCTTCAGATCTTCTTTTGTCGTAGAGAGTAGGTTGCATGTGTGGTCCAAATGTTTCTATCACAATAAACAGCTATAAGCCTTATGGTTTAGGTAACCATAGAGTAACCAGATTAAGGAACATGCAACTTACCTCTGTGACTTCAAGCTTTTTGCTCAAATCAGCAGAATGTTGAAGCTCAGAATCATACTTTTTTTGCAGATCACTAATTAGCTTCTGGTTTGCTTCCAAAGAAGCAGTCATTTGTTCTATCTGATCAGCCATCGCCTTCATAAGGAAAGATTAAAGAAAACAAGTCATTTCAGGGGTGAAAAGAAAATGATTCCCCTTCAGATTGACTAACTTTGAAACATCATGTCATGCCAAACTCTACCTTTCGCTCATTTTCCTCCTGCTGATATCTGTCTTTGGGAATGTACACTCCAACTTTTTCTCGAGCAGCATACACCTCTGGAGAGTAATCAAGTTTTGTGAGGGGGAACTAGTGTGTCACCATTCTGTTGAGATGAATTCATTATGTGCATTCACTACTGACCTGCCTTAAGTCGGTCAATTTCACCATAAAGATCTTTAATTAATGTTGATTTCATCATTTTCTGGTTTACCTGCAATAAAGAAAGATACAAAAATAATAATATCAGGTGTCAAACATAAATTAAACAGCAAGAGCATGCCCAAAAGTGAGTTTTGTGGTTATAGATCCCTCTAGAATAACAATGGCAAAGACTTATCCAGACTACTTCAGCATCTCTTATAATTCAATATCTCAAACACCACAAACACATCAAGAACTAAATTGGTGTGCAATGCTGGATCAAATGAGATGGCGATAATGCAATAACAAATCATAGCACAGTTTTCACCAACCAAGAGGGCCATCTAAATGCATGCATCCCATAAAACAGCATAGGCAACAACATAACTGCTACTCTACTACCAAAGTAAAAAAAAAAAGGTTAAGCAGGTGGCTGCATAAGTGAATAAAGAGTGCAAACGAAAATATGTTTATTTATATTGCTATATACTCCCTCCAGTCCAAATTATAAAATGTTTTGGCTTTTCTAGATATATAGCTTGTGCTATGCACTTAGATATGCACTATGTCTAGATACATAATAAATGCAATGTATCTAGAAAAGCCAAAACATCTTATAATTTAGAATGGATGGAGTACATATCTCACTTCAACATAGTAAAGTGCATGCCATCTAGTAGGAACATTTCCATCTGTATCAAGTATCCAATCACAAACATTACAGCCAATATGTCTACAAGTTTGTTTTGCCATTTGCCTTTTCGGTCATGGCTTGAAGAATAAGGATAACAAGATTTCCATTAGACTTACACAGAAATAATGAGTACAAAGGTTGTAAACTGATAAAGTGAAGACATATCACCTCAGGTCTATTCTTAATGCTCTTTGCCCGGTGTGCATAATCCAAAGTACTCAAGGTTTCTTCAAGGCAATGCACGGAGGGTGAAACAGTAGCGATAATGCAAGTCTTTGTTCTTCCTCCTAATGAATCACGCAGCAATCTTGTGAGTTTGCTGTCCCTGAAAGATAGGAGAATTTTCAGCAAGGTAACAAATAGCAATTATTGTATCTGCACCAACATGATCAACTGCTGCTTACCTGTAAGGAACATGTCCAAGGTGTTCGACCAATGCCGTAATCACACGGCCCAGAGTAAGCAAGCTTTTATTAATTTCGCCAGCCTCCCTTGCACGGCCCTATAGTCAAGAGGAAGTGTCTTACTTTAGAATACAATACAATTGATGCCAAGAGATGAAGGTATTTAAAAGCAGCATTCAAGCTTGTTACACGATACAATACCTCCTTAGCTCCAGAACGAGAGATGTTCTCAGACCCAGCCAAGTCAACTAGATTTAACTTCCCGCATTTTATCAGCTCTTCTCCTTCAGGGGTTGCCTCTTTTATGTGAATAGTGATTGAGAATAGGGAGTGCGATCGACTATAAAATGTTAAAAGTGGTAATGAGCACTTAAAGTTTGTTGTAGCAGTACAGTTCAGAACAAGACAGAGAGTGAGATTGACCTGGATTGCTTGTTCAGTAATGTCTCTGCAGTGCGGCGCTTTGCAGACCCCCTTTCTAATAGAGAGAATATTTCACTTGCATTCGTGACATTTTCTTCCTCAAGACCTCGAACAAGAACTCCACCCTTCCCATCCTCCATAAGAGGTAAGGTTTTCTTCTGTCTATCCTCAAATGCAGCCTTAGATATCTCTTCAGGTGCAAGAAGATCTGTAATTTCCTCATTGTACAGCTCAAGGAACGTGACCTTAACACTGTACTCAGTGTTCTGCCTCTCCAGGGTATCAAAGATTTGTTTCACTGCCCGAGGTATAACTCCAGCGTCTGCAGGTAATTGACCCTTTGGTCCACTCTGCAAGCATTCGAGCACAAGCAGTCATCAGCGATTGAGGCAACCAGGAAGCATAATACAGTCATAAAAAATAGCATAGACTTGCCTTGGCTCTCCTGCATTCGCCTTCCATGGTGTATGTTTTCCCAGTGCCTGTCTGGCCATACGCAAAAATGGTGCAATTGAATCCCTCTAAGACCTCATTTACAATAGGAATAATGGCCTGGTCATACAAGTCCTTCTGCTTTGCTGTCGGTCCAAAAACCTGCGAATAGAATGAGGGCACTGCACGTTACAGCTCTGCACCTGGCAGCCAAACCTGAAACAAAGTAGCAAAGCTTTGTGGTGCGGCGTGCACTAGCTTTTGATAGTAGCTGACCATGATTGCCTCACGGTCTTGCACTAGCTATTAGCACAGAGCACTTATACTAGCAAAATGAAAACGTGCAGAACAGGTGCTTATCATGAGTGTTCCTGATTTTTATAATTTTATTGTAGTCAAACGTGACTGTTTGAATTCACAAGCAACAGCTTCCACTGCAAATTGAGCTTGTTTGGATGCAAGCAACAGCTCTAAGCAACCCTAGATATCAAATGTCCCCAGAGTCAATCAGGGGAACAAACACAAAAGAATACTGGCGGGGATTCGCCAATCATTCACAAACTTTAAATTGGTCACACCGAAACAGAACTAGCCACAGCCTCATCGCAGTAAAACCAAATGCGACCCAACAAAGGAGTGGGGGAAAACGCATCCAGCCACTGAAACTCCCAGATCTCGGGGTCAGAAATGAGGTAGGGGGCAGCAGACCTTGTCGAAGGTGAAGACCCGGTCGAACTGCTTCCCGGCGATGCTCTGCGTGACGGCGACCTCCCGCTGGAAGTCGTTGCAGGTGATGACCTGCGGCGCGTTGCTTCGGAGCTCATCGTCGCTGAAGGGCCTGCGAAAGCAGCCACGCGGGGATCAGAGGGCGGCGGATCTGGTGCGGGAGGCGATACCGACGACGCGCGCGCGCGCGCGCGCGAGAGAGAGAGAGAGAGAGAGAGAGAGAGGGAGTGAGAAATCGACGGCTGCCCGTGGCACGTACCTGCAGCGGAGGAGGACCTGCACGTTCACCGCCTTCTCCTTGTCCTGCCGCGACGACATGGCGCACGCGACGGCGACGAGCGGCGGGCGGCGGTGGCTGGGGGATTTCAAAATGTCTGCGTCCAGAGGGGAGGAGCGGGGTGCGGGGTGGGGGAGAGGCAGAATTCGAAATTTTGGGGGTTGCCGCAGCAGCAAGATGCGGTGCGGCGGATTTATGCGATGCGGCCGTTGGATGGGCGACGCTCCAGGTGTGTGAACTGGGCTCGGCCCAATAGGCCCGTTAGTGTGGTGGCGCACTGGCGCTTCGCTTTAGGGGTCTCCAGTCTCCACGAGGGTGGTGAATTGGAAAATCGAAACGTGGGGGCCGAAGTGCCTACTGTGATCCTATCTCCAATAAATTATCTTTAAATACAAAATTTTCTTCAATAAAATCAAAATCGTGTTATAGAAAACGCTTGTCGAGAACGGGAATAGGGACTAGAACTCACATGTTTTGTTGTTCAGCAGCGGATCACACTTAAAATTATAACAGGAGCAAATGCAAGCAACAAACTTAAGTACCAGTAACAATATATCACACATCTATCCTAAATTTAGAATCTTACCTCTATCACCCCGTTCCCTTGTCTAAAAAAAAGAAGCCAAAACACTATAGCTGCTGGTTGTGTGAGAGAAAAACATTGTTCCGGCTGAAACCGGCTGAAAGTGCTACAGTAGCCCCGCGAGACACTTCCCGCCAATCCAGCTGCCGCCGCGTGAACGGGGCCTATATAAGAAGTTAAGATTAGTTCAACATACAAAAAATGATCAAAAACTAAATGACGCAACCTCAGAAAAAATAAATCAAATAGTGTGATATATAGAGGTAACACTCGATGCATATTCATAGTTCATCCATAGATATACATTGTAGCAAAAGTTGGGAAACAAAATCAATCTAGAAAAAATCATATGGAAATGACAAATTTCATGTGTATTTGCACTTTGTCTTCTAGTGCACTTGCACCTGAATTTTGTCATTTTTGTTTGGATTTTTACACAATAAGTTTGTCTCTCAACTTTTGCTACAACGTGCATCTATAGATGAACTATGGATATGTATCGTTTCATAATTTTTGAAAACCTCTAAGTAGGGTTTTTGGAAGGGTTTTCACGATTGTATCAAGAGGGTGGTTTGCACCAAATATTTTCCCTGTTTCCCTTATGCTGAGTATAAAACTTAGCCACATATACCTATAAACAGAGTAAAATGTGAAAAGCAAAACAACAGCAATACTTCAAAGATAAACCACACACTAGCATTGAATGAGCAACCTAACCAAATATAGTATATTGCCCGTGCTAACGCTACGGGGTATTTCATAATGCAAATCAAACAAGCAAAAGGCAATACATATCTTGATATTCAAGTATAGAATGAGATATTAAGATTCATAGTAGACATGCACGTGCGACCCACACGTGTGTCTATCAAACAAATAAAAAAATTAATGGATAAGATAACAAGAAAATTGACAAGTCAATACATGAAAATTAGAATGTCTTTAAAAATTCAATTTATTATGAAAATTCAAATCTCCAACATAATCATTTCGTAGGTCCTAACTAAATTAGCAACATTGCCACATCTATTAATCCCCACTTTTCATCACCTTAGTGTATTAACCATCTCACCAGTAACCAAACCACATGAAAGCTATACAGTACAGACAACCTGATTGTGTAGTACGTTTGCATCTGAGAAGTACATAAACTCAAAGAGCCGAGTACCTGTACAAGAGTAGTTTGTTAGCCAGTTTACATCTGGTGTTAGCTAATATAACAGCTACCTGAAGCAAATAATGTGTTACAGAGAACAATCTTTGGCAACAAAAATAATTTTTTCTTACTTCTAAAATGGTATTGACATATTGACAAATAACTTGCATTGTGCTTTCTCAATAGCAGGCAGTAACAAAAAAAATGCAAAAGAAAGATCAAATTATTACAAACATTGGTGGTTAGCTGCCTAGGAGCCTTTCCCTAGAATGAAATTGCTAGAAGTTTGCTAAAGAACCACCTTTCAAATATATTAAAAACAAACCTGCAACATAGGAAAGTATTTTCAATCAATCAAAAGATCATAAAGACCCTCATGAACAAGAAGAGTGATTTTTGTGTCACTTTTGTCTCTCAACTTTTGCTACAACGTACATCTATGGATGAACTATGGATATGCATTGTTTTATAATTTTTGAAAACCTCTAAGTAGGGTTTTTGGAAGGGTTTTCACGATTGTACTAAGAGGGTGGTTTGCACCAAATATTTTCCCTGTTTCCCTTATGCTGAGTATAAAACTTAGCCACATATACCTAGCTATAAACAGAGCAGAATGTGAAAAGTGAAACAACAGCAATACTTCAAAGATAAACCACACACAAGCATTGAATGAGCAACCTAACCAAACAATATTAAGAAAGATCGCACCGCACTCGCTTAAAACTAAACTAGGCAGGGTAACCACGATAGCCTACTTTGGGTTTATTACAGCAAGCCAAAAAAGTAACATAACTACTGTAAACAAAGGTATGACAAAGTAGTGATTGAGTGAGTACGCAAACTGCGTCTTTTTCCTTAAAAAAAAGTGACTCTGCAAACTGGTTGTGCATATCACTTAACCTACAAGTTTTCTTAGACCTCAATCTAAACATAGTAGATAGTATAGCAAAGGGAAACAATGAATCAGGTTAGCATTCGGCTCTTGGCGTCTGGGAGTGTTAGGGGGTGTTTGATCCGGTGACTAAAATTTAGGAGGTGTCATATGAAAGTGTTGTATAGGGGGTTTATATACTAATAAAAAAAATAAATTACAGAATCCGTCAGTACTCCACGAGACGAATTTATTAAGCCTAATTAATTCATCATTAACATATGTTTACTGTAGCACTACATTGTCAAATCATGGACTAATTAGGCTTAAAAGATTCGTCTCGCAAATTAGTCGCAAACTGTGCAATTAGTTTTGTAATTAGTCTATATTTAATGGCAATGTATCAAGTGCAAACCAACCTCTCCGTGCAAACCGTGCAAACCAACTGCGGGGGAGAGGTGGGAGGGGGGATTTGCAAAAGTGTAATTAGGTAATTACACTTTTGCAAATCCCCCTCCCACCTCTCCCCCGCAGTTGGTTTGCACGGTTTGCACGGAGAGGTTGGTTTGCACTAGATATGTTCCCATATTTAATACTCTATCCAAATTTCTAATGGGACAGCGACTAAAATTTAGAAGGAGAAACCAAACACCTCCTTATAGCCTGTTTGGTTTAAGGAGGGATCTCATCCGGAACGAGTTCACGCGGAATGAGGTCGTCCGATGGATTCTCACGGAATGACTCGGTTACAGACCTGTGCATTGAAACAAGCTTACTCGCTAAGGGATGGACTGGAACCATGACGGAAACCAAACGTGGTGGTTAGCTTCGTAGGGGTTCGGATCATTCCGTACCTGCGCATTCCGTGAACCAAACGCGTTGTCTCCCACTATAAAGGAGGAGCTACTGTCGCCGCGAAGGAGGAGCTTGGCCGGCTCATCCACCTGGGAAGAAGCATGGTTGGAACCCATCCTCGGCTCTGTCTCTAGGCCGGCTCATCCACCCTGGGTCCTGGGAAGAAGCCTGGGGGACACGAACACCGGCACGGCGTGAGGCGCAGGAGCTCGGCAATTGTTGTGGAATAGGCCAAGGATTTAATTTGGACATCTAATCATGTGCTAGGCTAGGCTGGGGTGGTGATAAATTAAAAATGTAACTGTGTTGGCATGTTCGTTTGAACCTATCTGCCGGCTTATTAGCTCTATAGTATTTTTCTCTCACAATAAAACAGCTTCACCCGACTTATCAGCCGGTTTTAATACCAGCCGAACAGGCCCTAAGCATAACTTTAATGTTTTTCTATCCGAATTCAAGTCTTTGATTTATATAGGCACTCACATGTTTTTTGAATTTATTACAAGGATTAAAAAGGTTATTTAAATAAAAATGTACGAGAAGAATATCATGTGCTGCGCTTGAGTGGTGATAAAAAATGTAAAAACAAAAATATTAAAAAGGGGGTTAAGTGCGTCACAAATTGAGCATAACTAAGATGGTTAGGTTTCTTATGATGAAATATATCTATCTAGATTTAAGTCCTAATATGGACATTTGGTATTTTTCTGAAGAACTAAAACAGAATTAAAATAGTGATTTAAATAAAAATATATGAGGAGAAGATCACGTGCTATGCTAGAGTGGTGATAAAAAATGAAGAAAAAAAACAAAAATAGTTCGTAATTTTTGGAGTTATTACAGGATTAAAATGGTGATTTAAATAAAAATGAACGAGAGGTGATAAAACATGAAAAAACAAAAATAACTCATATTTTTCTGAAGTTATTACATGATTTAAATAGTGATTTACGACGACAACAACAACATAGCCTTTTAGTCCCAAAGCAAGTTAGGATAGGCTAGAGTTGAAACCCACAAAGAGCCACAAATTACGGTTCAGACACTTCAATAGCTGCTTTCCAAGTACTCTATTCAAACATAAATCTCTAAGTATATTCCAAGCTTTCAAATCTCTTTTTATTGTCTCCCCCATGTCCATTTCGGTCTTCCTCTACCTCCTCGTATTATTAGCTTGGCTTAGGACTCCACAATGCACTGGTGCCTCTGAAGGTCTCTTTTGGACATAGCCAAACCACCTCAACCGATGTTGGACAAGCTTTTCTTCAATTAGTACTACCTCTAGGCGATCACATATATCATCATTCCGAACTCGGTTCATTCTTGTGTGACCGTAAATCTATCACAACATATGTATTTCTGCAACATTCAGTTGTTGAACATGTCGAATCTTTGTAGACTAACATTCTGCTCCATACAACATAGCCGGTCTAATCGCCATTCTATAGAACTTACCTTTTTAACTTTTGTGGTACCCTCTTGTCACAGATAATGCCAGAAGCTTGTCGCCACCTGATCCACCATGCTTTGATTCTATGGCTAACGTCCACATCAATATCTTCGTCCCTCTGTAACA